AACAGCTGTCGTCGAGGGCGAGAATAATGGACACCGAGTTTCTGTACAAACAGTCATCGAATCTGAGAAACCAGTTGACTCAGACAGAATCCGAACAGTAGAATGATCGTATAATGGGTCTTCCTCCATTCAGCTGGAGCAGTAGCACATCGACCTCTAAGTTGCGTGAAGTTGTTGATGTTCTGGTGCTGCTGGTACATCCGAGCTCGAGAGCGTTCATTCCTTTTACCTAGATTTTGACGAGGAAGGTCTCGTGCGGCAGGACAGCCTGAAGTCTGACTCCCAAGAACATGGAAGTGCGGTGAGCAGCAGTGATTTTCGGTTCGAGAGGAAAAACTCAGACCGACTGATGCTGACTGTTGAGCTATGTGCATCAATTCTAAGAGCAGTATGTGACAGATTCAAGTCTCCAGCTTAAGAGATTTCTTGGGCTCAGAATATAATTCACGAAAAGGAGTAGGAGGAGGCACAACTCATCAGAATTAGCTGAATGTAAAGGCTAGCATAAAGCGTAAGAGAAGCGCAGAAGATCAACAACGATCCTCATGGAACTGAGTATGTGAGCCACTTGACTCGCAGTAGTGAAGGCTGCATTTACTATGAAGAGAGGCTGTAGTCTCACACCAGCCCCATTGTAGAAGTTGAGCAAGGTCCCAACATGTAGTTCCATTTCATGGATAGAACAGCATTTGGATCATGTTGCATGTCATGCCAATCTTTACACGAAACCTTATGGTCTTTAAAACTTCTGATAGACATTTCTATTCACCAAAGTTTGCAATGTTGACACATACATTAAGGACTTTTATGGAAATTTGACCAATTTATATAATACATCAGCACAGTAAACTATTGAAACTTCTCAGTCAACTTTCTACGCATAAAATAAATAAGGGAATCTGATTTAGATATTGAAAACGAGGAGCTACTTTGATTTCTGTTTCTTGGTTTAGAATTCAAAATTATACAGTTTATTTATAATCTATACAGTTTCTAATCAAAACATAAATTGTGATATAAAACTTATCATGAACCTCCTTATGCATATAGTCGTATTATTTTAGAACTTTAAGTGAGAATTAAGATGGACGCGCATATTTTTGAACTCAATACGTTACTAAACTATTATCAATAAATACTGAGTTGAAAGAGGTCTAAATATGATATTTTAGAATATTATCTTATAGAATTACATAATATAAATTTGACATGTGATATAATTATTTAAAAATATTTTTTATTTTTATAGTTTCAAATGGATGCATTTATGAGAATCTCATAAATTAAAACTCCGAGGTGACAAAGATACAAGATGACTAAAGCTCATATATGATATACCTTCAATTTGGCATATAATGAATGTGAATTTATCATCACTATACATTCATGATGGACAGTTCAACATATCACTAGTTTGAAAGTGAATAGGGTAAATAATGTTTGGTTTAAATACATATCATAAATAGATGACTAGTTACTATCCACCATAGCCACACTCTCAAAGGCTCAACTTCGAAAACTGCCCTCCAAGGAGCCCTAATTCGAACTCTACCCCTTGAACGCTAGGACCCCTAACGGGATTGTCGGTCCAGTGCGAATGGTGATAACTGCACAATCGGCTCTAACTGCTGTATCTGCTCATGCATACGCGCACCTACCTAACTAGAGATGCTTCTACATAAGTCGTGATACAAAGAAAAATATAATTGTAAACAATATATTTTGCTTAATCTTAGAGAGAAAGCATAAAACATTGAGGGGATCAATGGCCGACAAGCTTACACTACTACAGTAGATGCAAATGATAAGCCCATGGGAGCACATGGACTCAATCCTTCCCAATTTTGACTTTAGGGTGCTCCTAAATATCACATCATATTTAAAATAAAATTTATGGGTTAGACTGATTGAGAGAGAAAAAGAGTAGTATATCATGGATAAATGAGAGCTTTTTTATTCATTATGAACATATATTATGTCGAAACTAAAGAGTGAATAGACACTATTTTTATTTTTTTTTAATTTAGGTTCCATTGGTATCCAAATGAAATACTATGGAGAGATGTATAGAGAAATATTATTAATTTATTATTTAGAATATTGAGATAATTTTTCAATCATTGTGATGTTACGCTTTGTCAAAACTTGAGAATAAATAAACAATAGTCTTTGTTTTTTAATTTTCGTTTCATTAGTATCCAAATGTAAGACTATGGTAAAGTGTATACAGAAATATTATTAGATTTATTATTTTTGGATAGTTGAGATAGTTTTTGATTTATTGTCATGTTAATGTGTGCCAAAACTTGAGAATAAATAAATAATAGCCTTCATTTTTCAATTTCGGTTCCATTGGTATCCAAATGGAAGACTATGGAGAACTGTATAGAGAAATAATATTAGATTTATTATTTTTAAAATGTTGAGATAGTTTTCATTCATTATGATGTTATCCAAATTAAAGTTTTTGGAGAATTGTATAGAGAAATCTTATTAGATTTGTTGAATTTAGAGTTTTGAGTGATTATTCTCAAATTTGAGAGATGTGTAGATTTTTTTTCATTCCAAACATTTTTTTCTTGCATTGGTTTTATCGAAACTTAGTTGGAAAATTAAGGAGATTGGAATATAAAGTTATGAACAGTTTTAGATGTTAGGATTTTAAGAATTAGCATTTTTCATGTGAGTTGGGGTGTTAGGGGGATCTGGTGGGGGATACATGATGGAGTATCATTTATTACTCTGTTATCTTTGTGCAACCTAGGATTTTTCTTACCCTCATGGAATTGCCTATAGTGGTGTGTGATATTCAATGTGTGGTATGTCATAGACTCTTTACCTCCTAAGAGGTAAAACTCCATCTAGGAAAAATACATAAAGATTATGATTGAATCAATTGGGATGCGTTCTTGAGATGAGCAATCACATCGAGATGTGTCACTTTGGGGATCACACACGTTACATTGATTTCTTTGTTGATTATTCATGATATAACAATAGAGTTGTGGGAGTGGTTAGCATACAAGTTAGATTCTATTTTGAGACTCTTTGAGACCAGGTTTCCATGTCCACTATTATTCCATAGACTCCTTCATGAGCTCCTTGATGAGACTAGACATGCTTTTTGCTTACTCATCCATGGGATCATGTGCTAGCCTATCAAGCAAGTGATCCCATGGATGAGTCCGTATGGTATTTATTTCTTCTACTTCTACTATGGTATATATGTTACGGTAGGACGTGCTAGACATAAGAAGGTGATTGCTAGATTTTAAAGATTCTGCGTAGGAGATTGAATTGCATTGTAGGAGGAGTTTATATAGATCGCACAGGTTAGGAGTTATGTTTAGCCATATGATACTTTATATGATACTTGATTGCGATGATGTTGGATTTAAAACAAGTTGGAGAATATAGCACAACCACACGAGCTTAACATCCTTTGTCTATGGCTAGTCATATCGAGAAGACTATTTCTTCTTTATGCCTTTTGCATCCACCCATGGACAAGGTAGTACCATGAAAGGTTTTGGAGTATTAGTTAGAGGAGTAATTATATCTTGATTGATCAGGTTTTGCCCATCCTCTATGCACAACCCCACGTCTATCTTCAGGGATGTGCTAGGGATGATTTATGAGTATCTTAGAGATGATTTTCAAGCACATGATCCCCCTAGTGATTTCATGAAATTGTTCTAGGTGGCGGTAGTATTTGCTAAGGGGAGATTTCTTTTTCAATTAGCTATGTGCTAGTATACTTCTCGTGATGGAAAAGAACAGGAGGCATAAGACCAATTGCTATTGGGTAGATTTTATTGCGTCATATTGTTGTCCTTTAGGATTATTTTTACTTCTAATAGCACTTTTGTCCACACTAATTTGGAGTCGCACACAAACATCATACATACATAAATTTGTGTAGATTGCAAGTTATGAATTATGAAAATATCAAATTTCTATGTTCATTTGAAATATATATCTCTTTCATCATTATGCTATATGGCGATATAATAAAGATACCAACTATATTGAAATTCTTAAAATATTTTTTTAAAAAATATTTACAATTATTCAAGCTTCAAATTTAATTCATAAATATTTCCTCTTGATACACTTAATCTAAAGTTTAACAGAAACATTAAAATTTTTTATACAAAAAACTATGGACATCAATTCTCAAATATTTTATTTGTGCAAAGTGGTCATTGTCATTTTTAAGTATGATATGTCACTTTGAAACTCATGTAAATTAATTCAAATGTCAAATTATTCTCACCCATGTAAAGTATTTGTTGCGCATGTAAAGAAAATGTACAGTAGTTAACTTTTACATTTTCTGTACGAAATTTTGATTTCAAAAAGCAGAATGCTGAATCAAAACTCATTTTTGAATTGAACTTATCAGAATGTTCCATGCATTTTTCAATGCTTGTCCGCAGACGTGTTACAACTTGGAATGTCCTAAAGTGAAGGTTGTCATGAAAAGATTTGAAGGAAAAGGAGTCATGAAGCACTCGATGATTGAGACTTATTCAAACCTGTCAAAAACTGACAAGTTTTTACAAATTAAAGATTACATATAGCGATTCTTTTTACTTACGCATGTGTCTTTTAGTGGGCATTATCTACAGCTGGATTGCTGTTACCAAGTTGCACTTTAATTTTAATTTTATTGCATTTACACGGGGGTGCAGTTATCCAGCCCCGACCCGCCCGACTGTATATTGTATCTCGAGTACATGGAATCAAATCCGGTCACTCGTTCCTGGAATTAATTTGCATCGTTTCTTCTTCCATGCAGGAGAACCCATCTGTAAGTCACATATATCAGAGCAAATATACCGGTGTACCTGCCTTTTGACCACAAGATCTTCCTCCAGAACTTTACCGCACAGGTATGTTGGTACCACTAACGATGGAGACGTAAATGGAGTGTGTCTGTCTATAAATACACTATGATAATAATATTAATATATAATTCCTTCAGACTGAGCGCATGTGGGTCGCGTAGCGCAGTGGATTAGCGCGTCAGACTTCGGATCTGAAGGTCGGGGGTTCGAATCCCCTCGTGATCGCCATATTTGGCTCCGATGTCTCATAGGCAGTAATTCTGAATCTGTTGGACGCCAGGTTTTCATTGCGTATATTCGAATCTCTACGTAATTCCGATTTCAGACTATTCTACCTGTTTTGCTGACGTGCAGAAGTCGAGTGAACAAGGTCTAGTCTAATCAAGATACCGAGAGTATAGATGGGCATGACACTAAACAGTGTAAAAAGGTAGATAGTGGTGAAGAGAATGGAAAGTGTTAGGATATAAATGGTATAAAGTTGAAGTGTTTTATACCATTTCGAGGGTTTCCAATTTATGACATCACGCCATAATATAATAAAAAACTTAGTCCCAATATCAATGTGTACATTGTCATCTAACCTATGGGATTAAATTTGTGTGTGTGTGTGTTGATTAGAACACATGGTGTAGTTATCAAGGTTGTGTCACTATTTCATATTTGAATCTGTCTATCATTCATTCATACACAAGTACAATTTCTCCATAGAAAGCAAATATTGTAGTAACTCAAACAACTTGAAAATGACAGACACTCTAACTCAATATCTTGCATCACCCATCATTTCCCATACTGTCATAATCTTAGAATGGCAATAAAAACTCACTAATTTACCTTCATAGTTTAGTTTAGTTTACCCTAAACTCAATTATGAGGATTACCTGAGAATTGTTTGGGGTTCGATTCAGGGTTTTATGTTTATTCCATTAGGAATAAACATGCTCAAACGTACATTTCTAGGTTAGCGGCCACTTCAACGTCTCCCGTGATTACGTTTAGTATCAAGTTTTATTGATAATAATCATTTCAACCATTAGATCTAGCTGTAATATAATCCCGACATAATAAGTAAGTGTACTTGTCATAGGGTTTGACTGTGGGTCTTTTCCCTTGGGTTTGGAATTGGGGTCTTTGGGTCCACTCCACTCTAATTTGCCAATTTTATCTTCCCGGGTATGCCCTTAACGTGGGAGTTCTTCCTACCTGAATATGCAGCTCTTATATATTTCTCTAGAGTCATGTGATCACGAGGAGGCAATTTGTGAATGATGGGTGAGTGTTCGCTACGCTTCGAGTGCAGCATGCTTGGGGTCGCTTGTGAGCGTTTTTAGGGACAAGGCTTATGCTCTAACCGAACTGTAAAAAGCTCCGAATAATGCCAAAAAAGGAAAGAGACGTCGCTTGGTAACAACAATATTTCCTGCGTGCCATTCTTTGGACGCCCAACAGAGAGTAGCCCTCCTACAATTTCCATCGATGTGATGTGAGTATTGGGCCAGTAGGGGCAACAGAAGTCCTGCTTTGTCTGTCTTAGGTCCACCTAGAATGTGGATTTGTACTCGTGGGTCCTGACGTCAACTGCAGGAAGTTTCCGTCTACGCTTCCTAGAATGTGGGCTGATCTGCCCCTAAGTTAGAACACAACTTGAGACTGACTTTTTGTAACCAGATGTAATTCACAAAGATACATGGAACATGCCCAATATGGGCATGAGAGGATTGTGAGGGAACGCTTATGAAATATACAAGTGACTTCACTCATTTTCGCACCATGTACTGTCTCTATGGCGATGAGGTTATGTCTCCGCTTGGTCCATCCATCTTCATTACTCATATGTGAATATAGTATCATTTTAGATGCGGTATGTGTTCATATGACTCGATGCCCATTTGGATGGCAGAGGAAAGCTACCCTGATGCCATTAGGGATGTGGTGTTTGCTATGGTGCGAGAGGGGGGATATCTCACATGAAAGAATCATTGGTATGCCTTGCAGTCGACTAGGGTTAGGGCATACCTAAACTTCGTTCGGGAGGACTAGGTTATTGTGGCAGACGTGGTGGTTATCGATACTTCTCGTGTTACAGTTTTAGAGGGGATGATCACCCATCCTCCAGGATGGGCGGCGAGTGGAGCGGCAACAACTAAGGTCTCCAAGTAGAGGGGTATGCAAAGAGGTCACCTCTTTGTTCCTCTAGGTTTGGAGTTATATGGAGCTATTGACATGGACTTCGACATGTTTATGAAGGAGTGCACGAGAGCTTATCATACTAGGCTTATCACTCTCTTTAACTTCATGCATAGCCTATTTTAGTCAACATGTTTCCATTGCTCTACAGAGAATAATCAAGTTAGGTGATGCTTCTTCGTATACTCTTGTTATTTGTATAACCTATTTTAGTCAACATGTTTCCATTAATCTACAGAGAGCACTAGCTAGTGCAATCCATAAGGGAACAATCACATTAATTGATGTTTCTTTGGATGCTCCTCTTGTTTATAGACCATTAGACTATTTGATCTAGATAGTTTGGATATCTTAGGTGCTCTACGACATATTTCCCTATGTGATGCTATTGGGGCCTAGCCCCATGTTACGAGTTTGGTTCCATCCTTGTACGACTTGATGGGGTCTTCCCATTTTCAATCTCAAAGCGCACAAGCTTTGAGATTCGACCCCAAACTATAAACGTTGGATTTGTGACAAGGTCTTGTGTATGTTTGAGTATGAATCATGCTTGAGAATTGAATTCTTATAATATCAGGCATTTCCACTATTTATTCTATAGCCTTTCAGTTGGAAGTCACACAAATGACACTTTTATGTCATAGGAAACCAGCGAAGGTCATCTTGGATGGAGTATGTAAACTAATATCTCATGTAAAGTATATCTTGAATGAACTTTCGAAGGATATGATTATCTATCTTGTCTAGTTATTTTCGAAGAGCTGTTTGGTCCAGTCCAGGGGAACATTCTGAAGACTGAGTGGCTAGTCCCAGGCCTTAGAGCAGTTGTCATATATGCACACACTCACCCAGAAAAGCAAGATAACTTTTAAACAGCAGCAAAACATAAAATATTATCTTGACTACTTCTGGGTGCTGGTTTTATAAATGCACAAGTATAGGAATGAAGGCCACATGACCTCGAAGGACAGGATATTGCAAACAGCATATGATGAATCTTTACCACAAATGCAGAAGACGAAAGGAAAGGCAGTCGTACCACTATCATACCCGTGAAAATTATATGGGCTTGTATAATAGTCAGTGATTACTTGTGTAAAGCTGCAATAAAGTGCCATCTTATGTCACGAGGATTACGCAATCTCTTCAAAGTTCCATGAATTTGGGTATATTATTGGGATCCGAAGGGCGAGAGTGATGATGGCGAGAACGCAACTCACGAGAGAGTGACCCACCATATGAGGAAATGAGAAACGGTTGCGGAAAGTCCAGCGTCCAAACATGAGGAGACGTGCGTGGATAACTTGGCATGCACTCAGACTTCACTCGACCTGCGCCAACACCTGTCACAGCGCTTTCAGCAATCTTTGTATGAGCACAAACATTTATCGAGACGCATTGCTGCCCGAACTACCACAGCAGTTGGCATCCTTAATGTTAAAATGTTTTACTCGAATGTTTTCTGCTTGACTCGACAAAACATTCATGAAAAATAAAGTTTTCAAGCATCTGTAGGACTCATCACTTCTGCCCCGACCCTACAAGCCCGGTCCAACTTGTTTTCAAGGTGTCCAGAGGAGATGATTGTTTAGTTCCCCAATCAAGGTTTCTGATGTTATTCACTCATTTATCCAAAGGTTCTTGCTAAAGACAATTGTAACTTAAGATAGAGTGCCTGAACAAATAACGTAGGAATCAACAGCCCCTCTCATGCTCACAACAAGAAGAGAAGAATTTCTAGAGTTTAGGTAATCTTTGAAGGTTCATATCATTATGAAGATAATTTAACTGGAGTTAAAACGAGTTTCTTTTCGAAAAAAAAGAAGAAGATGTTTAGCTCAATAATGTCTGCAAAATTTGGTAGCCATGATTACATCGCTTAGTGAAATTTTGAGGTGGTGGTAGCTACAGGCTTGTTAGTCTGTTAGTCTTCAATGATTAACTTAATGATTATTGGATTCTTCCTGAATTTCAAAAGACATATATTACTTTAGGAGTTTTTTTATTTGCCTGTTTACTTCGTTTCGTTGATAATCTCGATAAAGATACCTTTGCGACATGTGAGTCGATAGCAAATTTCTCTTTATTAATTTAAAAGGTCAAGGAGTTTTTTCCAAACCTCAGAACCACGGCCACAATTTGTACGCCTACTCTTCTGCCGGGAGGTCCTGTATTCCATGTTCTATGCCGGCTACAAGATGGACAATTGCAGACAATGGACACAGTCTGTCAAGCAGGAGCATGTCCTTGAGTGTAAAGTGACTTGTGAAAAGTCAATCGAGATATCTTCTCTAAAGCCACCTGGATCTTCGAAGAATAAAGTAGTACTAGTGATTTGTTATCGTATCTGCAAAGGATAAAAAAACTGATTTACAGTCATGCTAAAACATGCGATTTTTGTTTAATGAAAACGGGCATAAATAAATAAATACCTATATCTGAATTCGAATGATCATTTGTGGTTGGTTGGGCTTAGTCGAGATTCCATGTGAAGGAGGTATGAACACATCGACTGCCAACGCGGAGTCCAAATGTGAAATGCATCCTCGTCAAAGGGGACGCATCATGCGGTCAGAGCAGCATAAAAAAATTCGCATCTCGTCGCGTGTTCGACACTTAGTTATGTGCTTTCTTTTACTTTCTTCTTCGTTTGTATTCGTGGTTCTTGAACGATAAATATCGTGGGAGCATTCTGACTGCGTAGCATAAAAGACCACATTCACCGAAACTTTCAGACACACAGTATGTTTCCACCGCCAAACTGGGACTTTTAACAAATGGTTAGGAATGGGATCATTTCATCGCTCATGACCATTTGAGTTTATTGGTACACATGGCTCCCTTCCCAAGGTGCTACAGACTGTCTAAGCGTCTTGTAATTTGACGAAAATCGTGATCGCCGTGCCACACGAGTAAACAATCGCATCATCACTGGGAATTCCTAGCTATTGTGAAATTCTTCTAGCTGGGTTGAATTTAGCGAGGTTGATTATGATGAGCTAGATTCATTTTGTTAGAATAAAGTTCTCTATGCAAAGAC